GGTAACCATCAAGGTGGGTCGACAAATAAAAAAAAATTGCAGTCATAGTGATGACTCAGCCGTTAAAGTGAACTTAGATATCTTTAGAGTCGCAACCAACAGTTGCTATACATTTCACAATGATTGATTCTGAATATTCTGATCGAAAAGCGCAAACTAACTAGCTAACTTGTCGATAAAAAAAAAGTGTTCCAGGTTCCGAATGAAGACGGCGTCGTCAGTTGATCGTATCGTCTCTGAAGCGCATCAAGTATGAACAATGTAGTTGAAGCATTAGCTCAATATAACACGGAAGTTGTATACCAAACTAAACCTTACGCGTGTTTTGTATAGAGTAAAAGTTAATGAAAAGCACCAGAACTGGATGGTCAGCTGAAACCCCAAGTTGTGCAGGGTGAGGGTATTGAGTCTTGGAAGCATTGACCAGTATTGCATTCTGCCCTTGTCGTGAAGGTCTGTACGGTAGTACTAAATCATCTGCTGATTAAGAAATATATATATTATATAGCTGTCACTCTATCTCATGAGTATATTGGTAAACCCTGCTTTACTTACCAACCTGATTTATTGTGAGAAAAGTGCTATAAGCCGAACACCCCCCTCTAAAGCGGAGTTAGATGCCGTCGATTCTGGTCCTATAGTAGATACAGTCTATTTGCCATTGTTACTAGGTGCTCTACCCCGCCGCGCCATATTGGACCGCACCTCACATGACATGTGACTTGTTCGTAAACCTTTATGTGTTTTGATGGTGAAAAACGTTTCTGAGCAGTGCTGCAATTTTCATTATTATGCCTAAATATTTGCAAGTAAGCATCTGTATCTATATATTTATTAAGAATGTTAAAAATCCTAGCTTTGTCTTTTTTGCGTAATTGGTTCACTTAGACAAAGCAAGAAAGGAAATAAGTGTACGGCTGCGATTTTTGTTAAAGAATTCCAATCTATGCATCTAGGCGAAATATATTGTGTATCCTTGTTGTAAAATTAAATCCCTATGGATTGAACTACAAGGAGTCCGATTTTTTAATTATTGCCAACTACAATTTATGTACATATAGTCCAATCATATCAGCAAATTTCCCCGAAATAATGTGTTTTATCGGTGCAAGTTGTTCAAGGGGGTATTTAAAACTTGGACGCATAAAATGGGTACACGAATTTTTGTGGGACCACTTTTTATTTGACAACAAAGAACCAGAAATAGTTATTAATTATACAAGGGAACATCTAGTATTTTTCCCGTGTATAATAAATACACAATTCTTTTCTGTGACGGGAAAAACGACGATTCAATATTGAAAAATCATATTATTACAAGTCAGAAAATTATCGATCGACCGAATTAGTAGGCTATGTTGTACTTATAGCGACAATTAGACCTGCGATGCTAAGGAAACTTTTAAAGTAATCAAATAGATGTCAATTTAATTTTGTGATTTGATTTAAAAATTGTGAACCTAGTGGTTGTTAAGAAGTCATTTTTAATACTATAAAGTAAAAATGTCTGATTCCGAGTTTCCTTTGACTCCACCGGAATTAGTAGAAGTAGCCAAAGCAGCGTCACAAAAATTATTGCCAGCTAAATCGGGAAAAAGTAATTTCATAAAAAGTGGCATTTTGTTACCTGTCTACGGAGATAAATTGTCAAACTTTTTTCCCGTCACAGAAAAAACGTGTTTTTTGAGATTCAATCGAAAGTGTTGACAGGAACGAAAAAACTTTTTATATAAGATTTTTAGGTATACGAGTCCTACAAAACGAGTCCACACGTGAGAAGATTCGACTAATAGCAAAAATATTATGGCCGAAAAACGAGGCAAAATGCAGGTCTTGACACTTTTTGGTAATGCAACGATCATTTCACGCAATTACTTGAAATTCTTCACATCCGTAGGATTCATACTTCTTAATAACATCAACAAAATTGGAGTATAGTGGTCAAGTAGTTTTTCGAGAATTTCTAATTGCTTATCCCAAAAGACCTGTCTTCCGGCCATCAGTACTAGTTTTTTGGGCAATATACAGGGTTTGTTCAAAGGGCATTTAGTAGCAAAATACACGTGTTTACCTTGCCGATACGAATCACAAACCATTCCCAAATGTTATTTTTATGCGAAAAACGAAGGTTACGTTTCTTTCTTCTAAACAAATTGAAACATTTCGTATTTGTGAGAAATTGAACAAATGCGCTACGATAATCGAAAAACATACGCTACTGTACACATTTTAAAACAAAGCGGATGTGTCTAGCATCTTTTGTTACTCACAAAAATATGAAATCTTTCAATGTGTTGAGAAGAAAAAACGTAACCCCTCCTTTTTTTTCGATAAAAATAACATTTTTCTTCGGGAATGGTTTGCGATTCATATCGGCAAGGTAAACTAGTGTATTTTGCCATAAAATGGATGGACGGAAAACAGGTGTTTTGGGATAAATAATTAGAAATTCTCAAAAACTACTTGACCAATCTACTCAAATTTTGTTGTGGTTATTTAGGAGTACAAATCTTACGAATTCGAAGAATTTCCAATATCTGCGAGAAACCATCGGCGCATCACAAACAAGTGCCAAAACCTGTACTTTGCCTCGGTTTTCGGCCATAACTTTTTTGGCTATTAGTCGGATCTTTTTACGTGTGGTTTCATTTTGTAGGTCCCATGAATTCCTAAATATCTTATATAAAGGGTTTTTTCGTCCCTGTCAACAGTTTCAATTGAATCCCAAAAACCACGTTTTCTCATTCTTTGTTGTCGAATAAAAAGTTTTACCACAAAAATTGGTGGACCCATTTTAGGCGTCCTTGTTTTGAATACCCCCTTGAACAACTTGCAGCAATAAAACCAGGCCTTACAATTATTTTGCAAACCTGGGGTATTTTCGTTTAATATGATTAGACTAAAGATACCATCACGAAGTAAAGGTATTTACATGTACTATTACTGAAGGATTTGTGGTGTGACACTGTAGAAAGATAATCAAGTCACTACAAATTCAGCCGACATCATTCGGTTTTTCAAAAGTTATTCTCTCAGATAACAGCACAACATATACCTTAAAAAATTCCATCTGCTTCTCGACTATCAATACCTCCAAACAGACTTCATCAAAAATATTTATGAACGCATAAAACAAAAATGTCTGCACGCTTCACATATGAAAAATGCGTCCTTGTGAAAATATGCTAAAGTCAGTAATGTATTCGAAGGACTTCATTTCGTGCTCAATCTAGCAAATATATGGAATTACTGATAAGGGGTTGGTATTCTACAAAGGGAAAGCCAACTTGTTGAACGTTGGAACAGGGTAATATGAACTTTCGCTTAAGCAGCAGGTGTTCATCAGCTACAGCTATAATAAATCTATATAAATCTATATTACTTGGACAATATGCTATTCTCTGCATTCAACGTCTAAACAATTAAATTAAATAACAAAAAGCATCATTCTACGACCTTTTCTGGCGCCAATTTTTTATCAAATGCTTGACGCGTGCCTTGGTTATACCAAAGAGAGCCTTTAAACCTATACCGTACCTCTTCGGGCTAGCTCACTTGACGCGTAGTTGTTGTTTTTTTTACGTAGGCTCGTATATTAGTTACTTCTTCTTCAAATATTGTGACTTTTTGACACACATACTTTCAATTATTAACTAATAAATAGTTCTCGATCGATCGATGCCTTATCCTGTAACCCCTGATCCAAACCCTGTTTGCTGTTCGAACTATCCGTGATATACTCCTACTAAAAGGGTCTCCGAGATAACATTATCCTTCTAGATACATGATATCCAAAATATAAACATATTATGAAAACTATAGTGTACAATTATGAGAACAAAGCAAATAATAAACATTAAGACACCAATGGTGCTGGAATATTTTGCATGGTAATAATACAAACGAAAATGATTAGTCCTGTACGAGGTCTGTAAATTGAGTAATGAGAATGGCAACGTAGCGTTCGATCTGGCAACACTGGATGCGCCGGGCTTGGGGAAAGACAGGGGAACATGTGATCCGCCTTCAGTACAAGTTTGAACTCACTTGAGTCATTTGGTTGTCCGTAGCGATTTTTGTTTGTTTTTTTCTATTCTGTTCTCAAAATGAGTAACTTAATAATGAACGTTTTTATTTAGGGCGAACTTAGCTAGAAGCTATTCCACCACTTAATCGTTGAAAAACTAGCACTAAAATATTGAAAACAATTTTAACGAAAATTAAATACATTGTACACATGTGTGAACAATGTAAACTATAAAAGATATACATAATATGTAGAAATATAGATGTCTATATACTGAGAGTTAATTTAGATTTAAGCATGAAGCATAATTTGTTTAATTTGATTTTTGAAGTTTTTAAATTCAACATGTTTAGCAGTAGGGTCAAGTGGGGGTAATTATGAGACATTATTTAAAACTTTTGATTTTTTGACGCATAAATGACAATACAATAAAAATATGTTTATGTGCAGAAATATATATAGAACCTATTTAGTCGGTTAATTTGTCAATAAAATATCAACTTTTTTGAAAAAAATAATATTTTTATGTCTCATTTTTTACCTCTCCTAAGGTACAATTATGAGACAGGCTATGGGCAAAACTGAGACATATTTAAACAACATGTTTAAGTCAATAAAATTGGGTTTAGAGAAAAGTGAGATGCTATGGTACAAAAATGATACAAAATCTATATTAAAAAATACCTATTTTTTTATGAAACACAGAAAATCAGGTAGTAAATGAAAGATTATCCTAATAGAAATGTAGATTAACAAAAATTTAAGGTTTATTGAACATTCTAAGAAGAAAGATCTATTCCAAATATTAGTGACTTCTTCATGCGCTCTGTCCCGCCGTGGGAAGTCGGATTAGGAAGCTTCATTACTACGTCTATAGGATCTACCTTGAACGTTTTTGGATTGGAAGGGTACACAAATGAGTTGCCCTTACGCCGAAGATACAGGAGAACCATTATTATTTATCGATTCGACATTAACAACCTAATACAATCTTCTTTTTCGTGGGAAATTGTACGAGTACGTAGTCGTCTTTCTTAATAGCGGATGTATCTAGATCTTGATCGGGCCCAATTTCTCTCTCCACAATATTTTTCAATGTCAAATTTTCCGGGTCACTTTCATCTTCATAGATTTCTCCAATCTCCTCGTCTTTACTGTCACTTAATACTTCATTTTTCTTTTTGTTGGCTTTTTTCATATGTGCCTTTCCTTTTTCCGTTTTAGAAATAATTTCTTGCATGTATTCAGAACTAATTAATACTTTAGCAGACCCATCTATTTTGCGCCTTTTTTGCCTATTTGAAGTTGTTCTTTTAACCTAGAAGTGACTCGAAAGAGATAGGACCTTGATCATTGTCGAAACTACCATCGCTTGTGCTAGGTACGGCTGGAGGTACAATGGATAAAAATTCTGACGGGGAGAGTGAATTGTTTTCTCCAGTGTTATTGAGAACACTTTGAGACTGAGGCAAAGTTGAATTAGTATTTTTACAATTAAGGGACTGCTGGGAAAAATCTTCTTCCTCTGAAATTTCTAGTTTGTCAACTGTACTTCCTGCATTATACCTTTTCAGTCTCTCGGGATCTAAACGATCCATGGGGTATTTTGTTCTATCACTGGGAAAGACTCCAGTACTAGAAAAGGAAGAAATGATTGTTTCTTTATTTATTCCCTCGCTCCATAGTTCACATAATAAGTCAACAAATTCCGATTTCGTTATTTTTCTTTGATTTTCACGTTGCCAGTAAATTAATTTTTCATTCCAACGGAGTTTGAGTGCTCCAAAGCAGCATCTGTCCAAAGGTTGTAAAGGATCCGGTGTGTGTGATGGAAGTTTCAGTAAAGTTATGTTTTCTGCGATTGCCCGTTCAATTGAAGTTTTGTCCAAATGGGTAATGTGACCATCGAGAATTATAAGTATCAGGTACTATCTCACAAAATTTTATGAACCATTGCTGAAAAATATTGGTAGTCATCCAGCCTTCTTCCGAGCATGCATATAAAGTATTTGGTATGTCATGTTGTCCCGTCCAGCTAGACCATAAGTTGAGCCCTTGAAAAATAATCAATGGTGGTAGTAATCTACCGGCAGCTGAAATGCATGCCATGACAGAGGTGTTTTCTTTTCCTGAGCCTTCTATATTCCTATGCACTTTTTGTCCCTTTCCAGCCATACTTTTAATACGAGAAGGATCGGAAGAGAAACTGGTTTCATTTATGTTCCAGATAAGGTCAGGTGAGTTACTTAAGTTTTGTATATTGATGGTTTCCTGTACACGGTCGTAGAATCCATAAACAAAAAATGGATCGCTGGTTGCAGTTCGTCTACTCAACTCTAATTGCTCCATCTTCCTTTGGCTTAGTTTTTGCCTTTTAAAAAAGCACGAAACCAGTCATGTCCAGGTTTGCCGTTTTTAAATTGAGTTGTAATGTTATTCTCAATTACAAATGATTGGACCGTTTCTAAGATTTCTTGTTTTGTCATAGCAAATCCCCATTTTGCCAAAATTCTATTTTTTTCCGCAAGGTCATGCTCCATTTCGGGTGTAAGATCGGTTTTTCGGCCTTGTATTTGTCGATTTTAAAGCATTTTGATGCCTTCCTTAAACTGATCTTACCTTCTTTGATAAGGTTTAATGCTGAAAGAAGGTCTTCATCGTTATATGATTTTAGTTTTTTTACATATTTTCTTGGCATATTGCTAACAAGATATATAATTATTAGTCTCATTTTTTACCTAACCTTGTCTCATATTTACCCCAATGAGTGTCTCATTTTTGCACCTGCTAAACAATTCGACGTAACGCCACTACGGTTCAAGACAGACTGCCGCGCAAATCGCCTAACGACTAAATAAGTATGTGGAGTATATTTCAAAGTTTACCGATTTTCCTCGAATCAAACAGAGGCGGAACGACCAAAAGTTGAGAAATGAAATTTAAGAGCTTGTTAATGTAAAAATGCATAGACTATTCTTGTGCTATTTTTCAACATTAAACGAATATTAGGTTTATGTTTTAATTGCGTAATAAGGTACATAAAAGTTTTAGCTATGGTTGACCTTAAATTCATATAAAAATTCTGTTTTTTTCTTTAAAAATGCTAACTGTCTCATTTTTGTACCACTTTTTTCAATGTCTCAGATTTGCACCACATGACGATAGATGGTAATGCATTATATAGATTGATCACATTATAGGTGAGGATTTATGAAAAGTGCCAATGAACCGCTGAAAATATCGATAGAATCCTATGCAGCAGCGGTGACGTGGTGGTAGACGTTATGAGTCTACTAATCAGTCGCCGTGTGCTGCGGGGGTTCCAATATCGTCCCAAGAGATTTTTTTCTTAGCTATGGATGTTCTGATTGTCCGTAGGTGGTAGACGGTATCTGACTGTCGAACACGGTGGGTGGAGCCAGAAGGTGTGCGTGTTGCATGCACACGTGTTCTCTCTCTAGAGTCCGTGTAGCGTCCTCTTTTCCCCTTATAGCACAACGGTGCCAACAGCTGTGTTTAGGCCTTAGGCTTTCGTATAAAAAAAATCTTGACGTTCAGATCGTCAGTTGACAGTCAGAATGATCGAGAAAAAGTTAATTAAATTTGACTCACATCACCATTCATCGTATTTTTACCAGTGAATTGGGGATGAGGAAAATGTGCACAAAAGTGGTTCATAAAAACCTTTTCCTTTTTTTTTGATTTATATACTCATATACTCCGACTACCACGAAGGCCTAAGGCCTAAACACGTGTCCCAAGGGAAAAAAATTCTTTTGGGACGGGATTCGAGTCCGCGCAGACCACGGCGATGGATCAGGAGACCGAAGAGTCTACCACTGCGGTCAGCGTAGCAACCTGCAAGACCAAAAGGACATCAGGAAGGAAAGGTGCCTTGACTTTTTGGATTTGATTGAAAATGACATATATTATGATCTAAGCTAAGAACACCACGTACATTCCACCGTTGGTGCTGGTTTTTTCAATATATTGTTGGTACAAAGTGGTAGCGTTGAATACATCCACTCGTTAGAGAGGAACTACACGTCGGCGTAATTCTCCCATAAAAAGATTTGCTGTAGTAGTTCCATTGTGTTAGGCTTAACATAATAAATTAGCATTGTTCATTGAACAAATGTATGGCAACATAACAATTCGGGTCGTTAACAAGCAGTATAAAATTATAATATATCATAAAAGTCTGACTCCAGACCACTGAACTTTTACCTAATCAGTGGAACAGAGCCACTGAACAAAATCCGTAGGTTAAGATGAACAAACAATGAACATCTAGTAAGCCGTTAAGGCGACTACTACAAAACTACCATCTGACAGATCTAGCACGTGTACACACATATACTTTGGAGGCTTAACTAAGAAGCGAGCTTTTACAGTAACTGAAGATTTTTATTGATTATGGCGTGACGAGGGCTCAGCATCCCTGAGTCTCTGATGTCGTAAAACGTATTGGATCTACTTGGTTCCAAAAGTAAGTGTTAACATCTTTAATAAGTGGAAATTTTGATAAAATACTTTCATGTTCAAGATTGTTTGACTACATTTTTCACGCCCCGAATAATATCTTTTTACAATGCATCCATCTCATTACAGTATTTCAGTCGCTCTCAACCTAATTAAAAGAATTAACAGATCAAACCACAGGAAAAATGAACTCTTTCTAACTTTATCATAATCAATTATCTCTATAATCTGGCTGTATTAAGAACAAATAAAGTTTTTTAGATAAACATGCATATCTCTCTGTGGCGAATAACAATAATACAGCAAGAGTCCGCGACAGCCAGACCTTTCTTATTATATAAAACCTGAGAGTTTCTCTGTGCATGACCCAACACAGGTGAGAATGATCAGCAACTATGAAATTTAGATGGTGGTTACATTGGCAGGCAACAGATAGCAAAGCTATATAAAATAGTATCTCAAATTCGTTAAAGTATAAAGCTCAGTTTTTTTATATTTCCTGCAGAATTATATTAAAAATGACGTGATCCATTGCCTGGCACTTAGTACAGTTTTCTTCCTAGTATAAGAGCTGAAATTTATATATGTGATCTGGGGGATTATCACAAGATGTTACCTCAGTAGCCAGAGAGTTTACATTGTTCTGGCATTGTGCCTAGTGTAGCGTAGCTAATACGAGGGATGTCTTTTAAGTTTTGCATATAGAAACGTAGTAGGCCGCGCGGATCGAACGTCAGTACTGAATCTTAACCTCATTCTTTAGTAAACTTAAATTCAAAGTTTCACAACAATACGTGCAGTGTTCTCACTACAGTTAATTTTTAAGTGTCACCAAGTCATTAGAAAAATGGAACTCAACCAAGAATGCCTTGCTGAGTAACTGTCTTTTTTCGGCAACGAAGCGCCACATCAGTCGACAATTTCCCGTTGGTATGGAGAATTCAAACGTGGACGGGTGAATCTTAGCGACGATCCCAAGGTGGGTGCACCTAAAACGGCAGTCACCCAGGAAAACGTCGATGCTGTGCGCAAACCCATCATTGAAGATAGACATGTGACATATCGCGAGATTGAGGCGTCCTTGAAGATCTCAAAGACCTCAATTCAAAAAATTTTACTTGAAGGGGAGTAAGAAAATTAGTTTCTCGTTGGATACCCCACCTGTTGACTGAAGAGCAGAAAGCAGCCAGGGTTAATTGGTGTCAAAAAACGTTTGACCGTTTCAATTCCGGAAACTCAAAAAATGTGTACAGCAATGTTAGTGGTGATGAATCGTGGATCTACTGTTATGAACCAGAAAATAAACGACAGTCGGCTGTTTGGTTTGACAAAAGATGGTCTGTCAAATCTGATCAATGACGATCAATGCGGCACCACTGTTGCTATTGTGCATTAAAGGTGGTAAGTGTTATTGGTGAAGCGATTGCTGCAACTATAGATAGGAAGCAATGGTAGATACTACTATTATCATAATCATTATTACATCATAGCAACAAAAGTCATTGACCAAGCTGTTGTATTTGATAGACAAACTTTTGATCAACCGCACCAAATGATATGGCTATGGACATAATAAAACTACTTCTTCATTGAGTTTCTTGCTACAAACAGTACTATTCTTCCCTATAGTAAACAATTCAATTTTCAAAAAATCTCATAATAATACGAATGCATTTATTAGGTTTTGTAATGATTTCTGAACCGGAAAATTTCATTAGATAGATAATGATCAGAACATAAATTTCAATTTATTTACTT